TTGAGATTTTCGAAGATCAATATGTACCTGAGTAGATGGGAATTCAGAAGATGAGGAGTCAGTAGGAAAAGACTCTCCCCGATTAGGAAATTGGGGAGCAAAAGATGGAATGAGGGAAAGTATATCCTCAGCTGATAAAAAGGAAGTTTGTAGAACTAAGTCAGGAAAGGGGTCCATTAGTTGATCAGCATCTACTATTGTATAGAAGGAAAATATATCCTCATGAAATATAACATCTCTTGAAACAAATATTTGTTTGGAAGAGACATCAAAGAGCTTATATCCTTTCATGCTAGGAGAATATCCTAAGAATACACAAGGTCTGGCTCGAGGCTGGAATTTATTCCTGTGTGTAGTGAGTGTTGAAGCAAAATCTAGGCATCCAAAGACTCTGAGGAATGAGTAGCTAGGAAGGTTATGATGAAGCACTTCATAAGAGTTTTATGAAACAGAATAGGGGATGAAGTTCGGTTGATGAGAAAGGCTGCAATCATAACACATTCAGACCAGAATTTAATAGGTATTCTTGATTGAAAAAATAGAGCTTGAGCTACATTTAGAAGATGTTGATGCTTGCATTCAACCACATAATTTTGTTGTGGTCTCTCAACCCAACTAAACTGATGTATAACCCCCTTTTTAGCAAAGAAGTCTTTAAAGGATAGTCCACTGGCATTATTAGACCTGAATTTCTTGATAGCAGCATTGTATTGTGTAGCCACCATATTAAAAAATCTCTGAACAATATTTAGTGCATCAGATTTATGCTTCAACATGCACAACCATGTGAATCTAGAACAATCGTCAACTAAAGTCAGGAAATATTTGTAGCCCGAATGAGATGCAACATGATAAGGGCCCCATATGTCACAATGTACTAAATCAAATGGATTGCTGGATAGATTGTTATTAGATTCAAATGACAATCTTTGCTGCTTAGCAAAAGGGTAGATATAGTAAGGGAGATTTGAATTTAACTTGGTGAAATCACATAATAGTTGATCCTTTAATACATCTAGTCTTTTAAAAGATAGATAACCAAGCCTATTGTACCATCTATAAGCTGAAAGACTACCAACAAAGCATTACAAAAAGACTCAACAGATTTAGTATCAAGTATATATAGGTCCTGAACTCTGTCACCCCTGCCAATCGTCTTCTTGGTGGCTGCCTCCTGAATTGTGAACTGATCATGGAAGAAACTTAAGGTGAGTTGAGAGTCAACATTTAATGCACAAATGGATAACAAATTGAATTTGAATTAGGGAACAAACAGAACATCACGCAGTATCAGTTGTGGACTAATTCTGATATCTCCTCAGAGGCTGACTAATATCTGTGTATGATTAGGCAAGATAATACTTGAATTATCAATAGATCTCAAGTTCATGAAGGTATCAGCAAGATAACATATATGCTTGGTGGCCTCTGAGTCAACTATCCATAAATCTTTAGAAGCAAAAGGGAAATTGACTGATATATCATGAGTGCTCCACATT